CTGTTATTACTCTCTACAGAGCATTGTCATAAGCTTATAATAGTCTTGCATTGTGTACCCCAGGTAATCAGGCCACTCTAGTTCAAGAATAACAAAAGCATATGTTTCCTTTATTTAACAAGGAAACTTAGACAGAAGTATCTTAGTAGTAGGGACCATATAAGACTTTACAAAAGGATTCGGAAACTGTATTTTTTGGAGACAGAATACAGCTGAAATGCTCTAAAAAACGCCTGGGCTCAAACAATACAGGATTATTGGTGTATATGCCTCTGCACTGACCAGAGGTTCAGTGAAGGAGCCTGGCTGAACACAGGAGCTTGGCTGCCTTTCTTATGGTATAATGATTTTGGCAGAGGAGTGAGGATAAGTCTGTCTCGAGAGATGCGAGAAGGAAAAACGTTTTACAAAAAGAGAGGAGCAAGATGAGTTTGCAGCACAGGATGTGCCATAGAGCAAGATAAACCTAGAGGAACTCTGATTACAGCTAATATCTCTATCTGTTCCCAATCTGTCACTCTGATGTGTGAAAACCAAAGAGTCCATGTCAAAACAAACGCACGGGAGAGCTACCTCTAACAAACAACGACACGTTCCTGTGAAATGTCTAAGCAAGAGGAAGAACTGTTTAAAAGCCCTTGCAGGCAGACCCTTTCTCCTGGGAAAGTCAAGGAATCAAACAGGAAAGCCTTTGCAGTGTGTGTCTGTGTATGTTTGTGTGGGGGGTAGGAGCCAAATATCCTCTGTTCACCATTCCGTCTCAGCAGGACTCTTCCAAAACACTAACAACCATCCTCCTGTTTGCGTGTTGACGTAGACCACAGGGGTTTGGACAGTAGAAAGAACAGACGCTGATGGTAACGAGACAATGCTCACAGGCAATAGGGACAATCAGGTTTTGTTTACTGCTTACTGTAAGTGTTTACCATTTATTGACGACAGATCCCAGGCTCCCTCTCTGGGGGTCACTATTCAGTTGCTCTGTAGGTGGAACTACCTTGTTTAGAAGTCTGAGCCTGAGGTTACTGGGGCATTTATGTCCTCAGTAAAGACCTCAAAGTCTTTAACAAAGAAATGTTTTTAATTTAATGAATTCTCAGGTTAATAAGCTCTTAGTTTTTAAATACAACTCAGTAAGTGATCATAACTGATTAGATACATCTTAAAGGAATTGCTTTTGAAATTTTGGGAAATTTGCTCACTTGCATTTTAGGTGATACTTTGTCACAACAAAAACAAATTTGAGTAATCGAATATATTAAAGAAATGTTGAACTACTATTCCTGAAATATTGTTATATGTGACAAAATTTGTCCTATAGGCTTTTTTTTTCTTAATCATGTGAAACTACAACTCCATGCATACAGTTTTTATGGAGTGGAGGCATAGCTGGGTTAGCTCCAGGCTCCAACCTTCAAAGGAAACCATTCCTCCCAGAGAGCAATTCTTCTACCTTTAACTACCCAGAGAGCACTTCTTCTACCTTTAACTACCCAGAGACCCCTGCAGAGCAGCCTCATCCAATCACAGCTACTACAGGCCCATTCTGCAGAGTAAAAGCATAAGGTCTAACCTGGGCCTGTTAAAGCTTTAACAACATGTTGTCCTCTGAAGATGTAAGTCACTTCAGTGGTTCACAAAGCTGCGCTAGTTCATTGCTGTACACTGTATATGAACGCCTGCAATGCAAAGGAATGGAGGATGCACGTTTATTTACATTTTTTTATCAGGTGGGAATGAAAACTCACCATATTGGCATTGTGTTCCTTTGAAGCCCATTGGACACTGACATATCTGGTCTCCAGTCTCTGCACATTGGCCTCCATTGAAACATGTATTGGCACCACACACCCCTGCAGGTACCACATATCATATATAATAATAAGGCTGCTGATATAATTTACACTTTCCCAGTTCAATTATTGTATTAATTTTCAAAATGATATATATAACAACTTGATAACAATATCAGAACTAGTCTTATTTATATATATATATATATATGTATATAAAATCGTATCACTCACTATGCAGACAGCCTTTCTCTTCACCCTTCTGAATCCAGCCAGGGCAGCACTTATAGACTGTGTTCATATCCATGCTGTACACCTGCCTGTACACTGTGTAGTATGATGTCCTGAGAAGGAGACATTTTGTCATAGACACATAACAGGATATTCTGGAAGTTACATTAGAGGTGTATACATATTACTATATATTATTATATAATATAACAGATCTATTAAGATGATATGTGCTCTATAGTTATTTCAACTTACTATAACATGAAATAGATGACTTTAGGGCTATGATCTCAAAACCTACAGAGCAGGCAAAGAGAAAGAGAGTCTCTCTTTTCAGCCCCAGTCATTGCAGTCAAGCTTATAAATGGTAAAGACTTAGCAATGGCACTTGATGAGAAAAACTCAGACTTGTGCAGCGAGTCAATGTGTAAAACACTCCATCACGACTTAATCTACTGCAGCTACTGCAGCGCCTACCTACTGTGCTTCGTCTTCATGGTCAATGAAAAAGTATAATTTCTCTTACCTTCTCTCGTGGCCCATACACCATCTGTGGCTGGTGCAGCCCTGTTTCCACACCTTAACCGTGCGGGTGAAAGCCTGAACACAAGGCTGACGCCCCCCCACCATGGACATCTCCTGGTCAGCACAAACATTTGGCCTGTGCATGGACAATCAAAAATACTGTTTTAGACTTCGGAAATTAAAAAAACATAATATACTGTTATGATGACTTTCATTTTTGTTGTTCTGCGCTATATGTTGAGGTAGTTAGTTAACTGAGTTGAGAGGTAAACTAAAGAGCTTCTGATGGTGGTCTCAGCACGATGCAGAGTCAATGTATGCATTCCAACAGACATGAACTTCCACATGTTCTACACATGTTCAGTTGCATGAACACCAGCTCATCACAGACACTGTCAAACAATTATACAGCTTCCTGATTGGTGCAATATGCGTAATTAAGATCCAGGAAAAAAAAGCTGCCCATGGTTTGGACACTGCCTACAGCATGCCATAAACAACCAATGAAATTCCACAGGAAATTAATTCAGTTATTTTTTCTCCTCCTGAATTGTTTTTGCATGTTCATATGTTGGCATGCATGCACTGATGTGTACATGCTCATTATACACCATCCGTCTGTGTTGTAAGTGCAGGTAAACTATGCAGAGGTGTCCTCCAAAATCCATCTGGCTTCAATAAACAGCAGCCTGAAGTTAATTAGAGGAAGTATTCGGCTTGTAATGAAAACTATTCCTTCAATCATGTCCAGCAAAGTCTATTTAAATTCGGGAACCTCTGGTAGAGTACTATACAATAAAAAAAAACCCAACACATTCCACTGGAAGCTATTATGCAGATGCAAGTTACAGCAGTGCTATAAAAACACAGATCCATCCTCATAAGGGACCTGAAAGAGCGACTCCTAGTGGGCATTGAACGGAATAAACTATAAAGTAACAGAATTACAGACAAAGTTAAATAACTTGTAAAACTTGGGCTAACGGTGTTTTTAACATGTAGGCTATGACACGTTGCTCCTGGCCTATTTAAGCATGTAAACTTAAAACTTTCTAATTCACCGGATTTATTGTTCAATAAAACCTGAGCTAAGTGTGCAAATTAAAAACAGTACAAACGATCTAAATTACAACACATCACTTACATTCCAAGTTGCAGCTCCAAAGATGATGCGATGCGCATAGTGCTGAATAATATCACACACAAAATATCTGGGAACATAATTTCGACCGTTTCAGACACGGAGAGAAGTATTCAATCGGCGCAGCCTGTGTCCATCAAATGAAGAGCATCCTGACATGTATGGAAGTCCGCCTCAAGACATGATTCAAACATTGATGTTTGTCTTGCACTAATATTCCCCCAGATCCAGGCTCCCGTTTACTGGTTAAGCAGAAGGACGACTTGTCTCATGTCAATCGCAGCCTTTGAATGGCTCCTAGTAAATGCACCACCCATAGTCACTATGGGGCCACCTCCCAAAACCCCCCGCGACATTGACCTGTGTATATTATTAACACATCCAGACATGCGTTTATATTATGTCTTGAATGAATTCATGATGTGATAAAATGTTTTGTTGTATAAAAGGGAATTCCTGCCAAAAGTATTCCTATAAATATATCGTATTGAGAAATTCTGCCCTCCTTGTTAATTAAAAAAATAAACATCGTTGATTTTAATGCAGTCCAGTGCTACCACACAGACGGAATATCTGAGGATGGGAGACGTGATTTTGTTGCATATATATGTTTTATTGCATAAATGTATGAACCAATAAATATCCAAATGCATTATGTATGTGACATTTTATTTTATATATTTGAAATTAGATAGTAGATTAGATTAAGATCAACTTTATTGATCCCAAAATTGG